ATAGCATGTGCAAGAAAGAGGCATGGCACCAAAAACAGAGGGATAAAGTAAAATTTATACTGAACTGTTGGACCAGCATACACCCAACCTGCTTCCAGAATGCCTTCAGACAGGTGAATACTCTTTACCTGTAGGAAAGAGATAAATAGAAAGATTCTATTCTGTTCTAAAGTGGGAAATAGAAGGACTCCTCTTTGGAGAAATTAAATGCCCATAGAGAAATTATCTCCGTACATTAACATTTGAGGGACGCAAATGAAATCTGCCAGTTAATCATGCTGTACAATAAAGCTGGTTCATTGACAAACTCTGTCAGCATACATAAAGTTTGCAACCAAAATTTTAGTGCTTTATTATATCTATATATGGGCTACAATGAATCACTAGTAAATAAGAGCATAGCTTCCAACGTGGAAGAAACTATCAAACAGGAAAAATTAACCTGGATGAAATGGAGACATTCAAGGCTGCAGAGAATACCATTTAAAAGCCCACCTAATTGATAATGTCAGAGATTTAAAATACTGCATTCAAGATATTTTGAAGAAGAGAACAAAAGAGAATTTTGGAATAAAAAATTAACAAAAATTGGTATTGAATAGAAGGATTGAAAAATAAATCAAGGAAATATCCCAGAAAATAGAATAAATAAGGAGATGGAAAAATATAAGACAAAGAGTAAAAAAAACAAACAAACCTAGATTGTTAATATAGGGGTTAAACAATTGTCTAAAAGAGGAACTTTTGAAAAAGGGGATAAGGGAAAATGATATGGAGATAATAATAATAACTTACAAAAAATGTTTCTCAGTAATGCACATCCCATATTGAAATATGTGCTCAGTAGAATGAATGGAAGGAAAAAACCCAGGAAATGCAATAGTACATCAAATTTTAGAACATGTGAGATAAAGGTATGATCCTAAAAGCATCAAGGTGAAGAGTGCAATAAAAGAGGCGGGAAATTGGAAGCAAGGTGGAGACACAGTTTTTACATGTGGTGGTGGTTGGGGGACCTGCCATGTGAGTTGAGATTTCCTTTTTGAAAGTTGTTTTGATGCAGGGTCATAATTTTTTTATAAATATGGAATAGTACATAGAAAAAAGTCATTTTGATGTAACTCACCAGTTCAAAACTTCCACTTGGAAGTTTACGTTTTGGTGTCACTTCTCTCGTCTCTCTGTGTCCATTTTTTAGGGTTATAGGTGGTTCCACAGAAAAATGGCACGCATCAAAGCCTGGTTGCTTTGTTTATTTTTTAATGAACAATGTTACTTAAATAGGTACAGTAATGGTTGTTATAAAATTTAGTTTAATACTGGTGACTTTCCAGACAAAATACAATTTTAGAAGCTTT